TTTATGTGGAATCTTCAAATTTCTTTCACTCTTTTGACACCCAAATGCTTGGAGCCAAGAGCTGTGCAACATTCAAATATAGACAGGGAGCGTCCCTGGTGGGAAAGGTGGCTTTCTGCCACTTAAGGGTCTTGTCCTGCACCAGAAAAAGGCCTGCACCACAGGTGACCCTCCAGGAACAGTCTTGGGCTTTGGCAGAAGACAGCATCTCCTCTACCTGTTCCCCCACCACCCCGTCCTAGGAGACAGTTGACTTGTGCTCATTCCTAAGGAGGGGCAGCCCTCCCCCGGTGGGGGAAGCACTGAGATTCTGCCTTTGGTGCCAAAACTGGGGGGTATCCTAGGCACCCTCCTAATACCAAAACCAAGCCATTTCTTTCCTCTACTACCCAGCTACTTCTAGAAAGGCAGGATCCTACAGCTCTGCATATTTCATCAACCCAACTGACACCGCAGAACTGAGGCAGGGAGCCAGTGATAAGCCTCCCAGCACTGGAAGGGACAAAACCAGGACACATGTTCAGTTCTAGGTTAGAGGGACCCAGAGGCACCAGATGGGGAGGTCTGGACTTCATCCTTCAGGAGTAGGGCTCCCAAACGGGGCTTCAGTAGGAAAGCAGCATGGTCAAATTTGCATTCTAGAAAGTCCTCACTAACAGTGGAAAGGAGAGCTGCAGGAAGGGAGAGCTTGGTTCAGGGAAGGGCCAAAGGGATGATGTCTGGTGTCTCACATGAGTGGTGGGTGTTCCTGGAACCCAGGTCAGGAGCGCTGTGTGGTGCCTGGAAGGGCCAGAGACAAGATTCTCCTGCAACTTGACGGCAGATGTGTATTATTTGGCTCAAGCAGAACTTTAAGAGTAAGAAAGCATTCTAGGAGCTGCTGTAGCTGCAACCTGCTTCCTAAAGACTGGTGCAGACTCTGCCCCTGGACAGGTGTTAGGAAGGGGAGGAGGCTTGCCTGGTCCATCTGTCTGCAGTTTACACCTTCCACCGGTGCCCATAGCAACTTTGCTTAGACCACACACACATGAATGCAGGTCAGTAAGTGAGAGAGGCCCAGATCTCTAGCAGGCCCAGGTATGCTGGATCCAGAGCCTCCTCCCAGAGCTAGGCGTCAAGTCTTCCTTCCAGAGCCATGAGGACTGAGCACTGTAGTATAGACAGACTGGCGGGTGCTGCTTCATCCCAGGAGGATCCCAGAAGAGGAATCATTTGAGCTGGACTGTGAAAAATGAGTCTGTGTTCAACAGGTAGAGGCATAGGGAGATGGGCAATCAAAGATCAGTACATAGCATGGTGGGTCCTGCTTGAGCAGACCCACCTATCCTGAGGCCTTAAGATGTACCTGTGAGACCACTGGAGCAGACCCTTCCAAATCCTAAAGGATGGTGGGGCCCCAGCAGATTGTAAGGGAAAACTGGAGAATCAGCCCGGTTGGGAGCAGAGGTGATGAGGAAGATGAGGCTCAGAGAAAGTGATAGGTCCCCCAGGTCACAAAGTAAGCATGTCTAACCCTTCACTCCCTGGCAGAGGGCTGGAATGAAAGGGGGTCCAAAGAGCCTGCCCAAGGAGGACACACTGTGGGGAAGACAGATGTACCAGGAATCCCCAGAGGAAGCCAAGGACTGTGAGGTGTGCCCCAGGCCCCCTGGGATGGCCACATCATCCTGCTACCTGTGCTGTGAGAGCAGGAATGTGGTGTGCAGAGGGGGCCTATTCCAGGCCAGGACAGCCCACTGGCTCAGCTTCTTCCTGAAGCCATGAAGGGCACAGCAGGACTGGATGGAGTCCAGAGGACACAACATTCATGGTCACACCCCAGGGAGTCTCTGCCCCAGGGAATCTCTGCTCTGGTCCTGCTTCCTCAGACCTGGCCCTACTCTGTGTCATGGCCATTCTCAGGAAACCTTGTATCATCATGCCACCTTTCTAGGCCTGTGGCCAGGTCTCATCCCCAGTTGCTGTGGTGACAGCTGTGAGGCCCACTGTTTCCTTCTGCCTGGTGCACAAATAGCAAAGGACTTTACTTAACTGCACACTGCCCCTTAGTCTCTTTTGCATTTCAGTTTGCACTGTGGACCTTTTCAATCCATGCAGACTGATAGAGGGACAAAGTTTGTGCTGCGTTTGGACTTGGCTCAGCAGGACACAGCCTCACACGCAGCCCTGGTCTGAATCTGCAGTGCAGCCACACCAGAAGAGGTGGCCAGGGCGGTAGGTAGATGAGGTCCAGGGGGCAGTGGGAAGGAGAAGGCTCTTTGATCAGAGCTGTGCAAGGGCAGAGTGGAGGGGAGAGTGGCTGGAAGCCAGCAAAGCCCACCTCCAGCCTGCAAGGCTGCCGGGCTGCCCACTGCCCACTGAGGGCTCCTGAAATGCAGCACCACATGTTGCCTGTCCCAGCTGCAGGAATTTGGGCAAGAAATTAGCCTCTTTGGACTCGGTGTCCTCTCCCACAAGATCACAATGATAACATCTGCGCTTGGGTTGTTGTGGCAATTGAGAAGAGAGAATTCCTGAAGAGACAGGATGGAATGGAGCCCTGTATGCTGGGATTGCTGAGAGGGCTCGGGTTGGTGAGGGGCACAGGGGGTGTGGCCCTGAGGTAGTTTAGCAGAGCCTGAGCCTGAAGGCTGCAGCTGGGAGCGGAGGGGCAGGGCCCAATTTCCTGCTGTAGGAAGAAGCCTCAGGCATGTGGGTCCAGGAGTCAAGAACTAAGTCAGCTAGGTCAGTTCCTGATAAGTCCAAGTGATGGGGACCAGAACTGTGGCTAGCCAGCGGCCCCCAGGACTAGACCCCCAAGATTTTAGAATGGCCTGCATCCTTCCTCCCATAATTCCAGCTGACTCTAGGCCATCACCATGATGTCCAGACTGGCTGGTAGCACTTAGACCAATTTTCAGAATTGTACAGGTTCCCTGCCTGGCACAAGGCCTGGCATGTGCATACCAAGGAGTGGCCAGTCACACATCTAGGGAATTGGCAGATTGACTGTCTCCATGCAAGGAGTCTACAGTGTCACCCAGGGAAGCCAGCTACTTAACGCTGGACCCAGCAGGGGAGTCACCGACTCTCACGCTGCAGTCAGACCCTAAAGAGACCAGTCTACCCAGAGCAAGAAAATGTCTCTGAAGATGAGTCACTCTTCCCGAGTAAGAAGGCAGGGGAGGGTATTCTGGGCAAAGGGATGCGCCCAAACAGAGGCATGAAGGGGAGAAAGAAACTGAGAGCTCAGGGAGACGAGGCAGGTGCTGGCCCTGGCTGCAGAGGACTGGATGCTGGCATGGAGACACAGGCCGAGAAGGGGCCAAACCTGTGCCCCTGTGAGTGAGACAGGGCTGGCCTATGTAGGTCTGTGCCAGCGGCCTCCCCCTCCTGGCTTCACTGGCTTTTCTCTCTGCCCACTCTGCCCTCCCCCACACACAACTTGCTGTGTTCACTTCCCTAAAAGTTACTTTGTCAAGGCAGTGCTCCCTAATCTTGTCCAGTTCCCCCTAGAGCTGGGAGCTATCTCCTTTTCTAAAGTGGCAGAACCCCAGTCTGTCACAGCCCTTCCCTTTCCTCCTGGTGTTATACATATCTGCACACCATTCATCCATCTTGCTCTTGCATTGGTTTGACTCAGCACATGCTCCATGCCCCTCCTTATTCGAGCTCTGTAACGCAGAGATCAGAACTTTTCCAAGGCTACTGGAGGACTTGAGTAGATTACACATGAGATGGTCAGCCATGTGCTGGGCTTGGGACAGATTGTCTGACTCTGGGAAGTGGAGAAACCTGGTGGGCTTGGTGTAAGAGGAAATAACTGAACTGCGGATGAAAAGTGAGCCAGGCAACAGTGTGTATAAAGGCTCAGGAAAGTAGGGTTGCTTGCAGCATTTCCTGGAGTCAAGAGTGGTGAGGGGGATCAGGGGTAAGATGGGGATTGGCGGAGACCAGGAGTGGTGTGTGGCACTGCCACTGGATTCTTCTGCATCCCCTCACAAAAGACGGAGCTCAGCGAGGCTTGTGGGTATGCGGGTGTGTAGACAGGTGGAGGCCCAGTGGGATCTGCCGAGCAGCTGATATTGCCCTCTGCAGACACCGCAGAAGCCCCGAGCCTGGAGATGCCCCGGCTCTTGGCACTCACCTTTGGGTTATTTGGCTTCTCTCAACTTTGACATTTGCCTGCAAAGGAAGCTAAAGCTGCCTGGGGCTCTTTCAGCTAGATCTTAGTCTTTTCAGGCTGCTATAACAGAATACAAGAGCCTAGATGGCATATAAATATTTACTTCTTACGGTCTGGAGGCTGGAAGTCTGAGATCAGGGTTGGTCTCTGGTGAGAGTCTCCATGAAGACTCAACAACTTACTTCTTTCTGTGTCCTCACATGGTGGAGAGAACAGCTAGAAAGCTCTCAGGGTCCCTTTAATAAGGACACTAATCCCATTTACGAGGGCAGGCCCTCATTTCCTAATGGTCTCCAAAGGCACCACCTCCAAATGCCATCACTTTGGGGGTTAGGTTTCAGCATGAAATTGGAGGGCAGAATACAAACATTCAGTCCCTACTCAGTGCAGGCTGACTTGGGGGCCAGATGCATTGGGGTAGGGGGGGGGTTTGCAGGGCTAGCCAGCTTCGGGCACTCTGCCCCGTCTTTCTCTCTGCCTCAGCTCTGCTTTCCTCTTTCTTGGCTCTTTCTTGAGCCATGTGGTGAACCCAAGAGCTCCAGGCTTAACCCTCTTTCCCCAAAAGCACTATTCAAATTCTCAGGCATAACTTATACATCTAAGCCAGTCACCCCAGAGGGGGAAGGTGATCACATGCCTAAGCCCCATGGGTGGAGGTGGGTTTAGGAAAGTAAGGGGGTTCTGTCATAAGAGGAGGGGATTCTGGGTAGCAAAACCCAGTCCATGTGAAAGGTACCCAGACCACAGTCTACAGTCGGGCTCTGGTCTCTCATCGCTGGAGGGAAATAGGGAAATGCCTTTCCATGTGTAACTCGTGCTCGCTCTTGTTTTCCAGGGACCACTGGGTCTGGATGGCAAGCCCGTAAGTGATGACAGGGTGTTCTTAAGTGATCCTGAAATAGGACATCATTGTGGGGTTGGAATGATCTTGGGGTGCCAGAGTAAAGGGTCCTGAGAACCTGACTCAGTGCAGAGAGAAGACATTTGTTAACAGACTTGAGCTCAAGTCCAGTTCTACCACATGCTTAGAGGTGTGACCTTGGGGAGGCCTCTTCACTTCCTGAACCTGCAGCTTCTGTTGATCATATGGGCACATTAACCCTTCCCACAGAGATGCTGGGGTATGGACAGCACCATTACTGGCATCTAGTTAGCCTTCAAAACATACGTGTCCCTCCCAGCAGGCCCCAAGAGGCTGCTGCCTTGCAAGAGAGAAGGCACCAAGGGACAGGATCTCAGTTCACTGCCCACCGTGCAGGCTTCTAACCTGCAGCCCTGGGAACATGGGGTTGCTGAGCATGGAAGACCCTGCTCTCCAGAGGAGTGGCAAGCACATGCACCCCTGTCCCTGCTGAGAGGACACAAGAGGCCCTCGCTGCTGACTCTCCCATCTCCAGGTTGCTGAGGCTCGAGGCATGGACCTCCTTGTGGCCAGCTCCAGACTCGTTAAGGGCTGACAAAATCTAACAGCGCTACTCAGGCTCACAGGCCCTCTGCCGGAAAGCCTTAGGGAGTCAGAATAGGGTCAGGCCTAGTCCTGCTCACTCACACCTGCTCTTCTCCACCTTCCTTCTCCAGGGACTTCCAGGCCCCAAGGGAGAAAAAGTAAGTGACGCTGGAAGTTGTCCCAGTGCAGTAGGCTGATGAAGAATGCCAGAAACTTGCTTCCAACCCCCACTTCAGAGTATGACCTTGAGTGCATCGCCTCTCCTAGAACCTCAGTTTCTCCACCTATAAAGTGGGGGCTCACAGCACCGCCTCCTAAAATGATCACAAGGCTGATATTTGACATAGTAATGTGCCTGCAGAGCTGAATCTGAGTTCTCCTGGCCCCAGAGTACAGTAAAACTCCAAGCACAGTCTGCCCAGAATGACAAATTTCCAAAGTAGTTGATCACAAAAAGGGTTACCAGCAGAACCTGAGGAGTTGAACAGTGACTGTTAACGTCATTCTCTGTGGAGAGGACAGCTCCACATGATGGGTGTTTTGTAAGTCCTTGTGAGAAGGGCTTCACTGGCATCTGCCACTAAATGTCACAGACAGGCCCTTGGAGGGCTGAGACCCAATTATCTTGTAAGGGAGCAGCAGAGAGGGGACCTCAGTATCCACAGCAGGCTCAGGAGCTGGAACACCCAGCGCCCACCTCGGAGTCAGTGGTGGATACAAAGCACAGAATCTGTGTTCAGAGCCTCAGCTTGGCCTTAGCACCACCACAGCTGTCTGGCCTTGGGCCCTCAGTTTCTTCTTCTGGACATTAAAGTCAAACTCACAGGAAAAACTGCCAGAGGTAGATGTCTGAAGGTTCTTTATAAAGGATGAGACACCTGTGCACTTGGCAGGCACCTTCCCACCAGTTCAGGCTGATGCCACCAAGTTGTAGAAATAGAATATCTTCCCATTTCTACACAGGGCCTTTAAAACCACAGAGAAGTCAGAATCTCAGCATCTATTGCTGCCTAACCCTCTACCAGTGACTTAAGCAATTCATCAAGTAATTATAATCATTCCTCACCATCTGCAGGTCAGGGCCACAGAGAGAGCAGCTTGCTGTGCTCAGCACATCTGGGGGTCAGTGGCGACAGACCTGGCTGCAAGCCCTGCGTCTGCCAGCCCTATGACCTTGGGCAGTTTCCTCAACCTCCCTGTACTTCAGTTTCCTCATTGGAAACGTAGATAAAAATAGAGCCTGCATGTTCTTTTGTTAGACTTCAGTGTGACCAAGCATGTGAAGCAGTAATCAAAGTAGTGCTCCTCTGTCCTGTGTTTTGTTCCTAGGGCGCACCAGGAGACTTTGGCCCCCGGGTAAGAACTGAATGAGACCTCACCACGCCTTTCCCAAAAAACATGGGTTTTTTTTTTTTCCTATTATAATTAGGCATATCTAGCACTGCTTCTGGGTCCCTGTAGCTTACCGCAGAAAGTGGGGTAGGCAGCCCACCTCCCACCTGATGGCCTGTCCTGCTGCCTGTTTTCACTTACATGGTCACTGGGTGGGAGGAAGCCCCAAGCACCTTGGTCTGGCTGAGGCTGCACCACCACCCCGCCCCCCCCACACACACACACGGGTGTCTCTGGGAGATATCCAGGTCACACTTCTCATCATGGAAGCAGGCATAGGGAGCTGACCCTAGTCCCAGCTAGCACCCCAGGGAAAGGGAAGGCTATGGGTTCAGCAACCTTGAGCCCAAATCTCAGCTCTGCCACTGATGAGCTGAACACACCCTTCTACAGCTCACTGGTTCCAGCTGTGCTGTGACAGCCCCCACCCCAACACTGTGGCAGAGACTCATATAAAAGGGTCCCCACCCCAAGTGGGGACAGTAGATGGGGTCTCTACCTGGCCCACACCAGCCCTCAGTGTCCTCTCTGGGCCCAGGGGCTCAGAAGAACTTGGAGCCCAGCCTAGAATCTCAGCAGAAGTTGCAGCCAAACTGAGACCACAGGTGGGGTGGGTCCTGAAAACTGGGTCTTGGTGGAGGTCACATAAGCAGCCCTAGAATGCACCATTTCCACCATGGCCTGAGTCAGAGCCTGAGAGGTGAGCATCAACTGCCAAGAGAAAGGCAAGAGAGAGACATAGTAAAGTTGAGGGGTGGACATGGGAGCCAGTGGCCTGATCACCCACTGTGAGCATCTGCAAGCACTGGAGGCTAGAGACAGGAACAGAATGAGGTCCAGCAGGCCCAGAGGAGGCCCAGGGAATGAGAAGGGAAAGGTGGACTAGCCGTCTAGATGGTCTAGGTCCCTGAGACTGGGTCGCAGTCCTGGGACTCTGATGAAAGGGCAAGGCAGGACCACCTCAAGCTGGCCAGCTATCTCTGAAAAGAGAAAGGTTGTAGTGGCTGAGAAAAATCTCTTTGCCTGCTTCCTGCTGAACCTGGAAGCTGATTTCCCAAACAGGGACACCCTCTCTTTGGATGGGACCTGCCCGGGCCAGGGGTCATGGAAGAGCCATCCCTGCCACGCCCTTCCCTCTTCACAGATATCCTCCCTTTTGTCCTTCTGTTCCAGCAACTGGTTTAAGGCTGGACATGTGTCACGATCTTGTGGCCCCTGGGGTGGCTGGTCTCTCCTGCTGCAGGCAGAGGTGGCCGGGCTGCAGTCCGAGGTAGTGCACCCTAACATGGCTGCCACTGATGACCGTTGACTGGAGGCTCAGAGGGAGATCTCCACCCACAGTTCTCTGTGGGATTTGTTTCTCCCGACATGGGGGTGAGAGGTCTCCCTGAGAGACATGGAAGAAGCAAGAAACTGGAACTGCCAGTCAGTTAAGAGCTCTCCCCAGAATGGGCACCCATCACTTCCCCTCCAGTCTATTGGCTCATCCACAATAGGCAGTGGAGCAAAGACCCCACTCTTGATGTGGACTGGCCAGGGAACCCTTCAGAGGGTCAGGGGATGGAGCAGAGCAAAGCAGCCATCTTTGAGAGGACAGAACTCTCCCCTCCAGTCACCAAACTGCCTTTCTTTGGGCTGGGTGATGTGACTTTGCCTTCAGAAGTAGCCTTGTGGTTTTCTAAATCACCCCTGCCTTCTATCCACATAACCTGTTTGCTGACTAGATGGTCTTCCCACGGCTCCACCCGGGCTTTATAAGCAGAGACCATCACGTGTACCGTCACCGTGTGCTCAAGGTAGACAGGCCGAGTGGCATGTCTGGGCCTGCTGGTGCTCCCCTCAACTCGACCGGGTTACTCCAGGGTTAGACCTCAGCCATCAGATCCCTGCAGGATTCCCCAGTAACTCAGGGAGATCCCAAAAACCTCTTCAGGAACCTATTCACTGTCTAAATCCATTTGCTGCCCAAGTAAGCAGCATCCAGGCAGATGGTTCCCAGAAGGTCTTCAGATTCTTCCCAACACTGCACAAAATAAAACAGGAGTTGTCCACCACCATCCCCACCCATGACTGGGTGACCTAGCCTTCCTCTGCTCCTGCTGAGATTAGATCCTCTTGATCAGTGCCCAGACTATGTCATACCAGTCTGTGTGGTGGATGTTGAGAACTTCAGGATTTTTTAATTGTGAAAACTCGTGAACTGCCTTAGGTGCAGTGTGCTAGAGAAATGCACTTTCAGGTTGTGGGGTCCATGCATGAAAAGGGTTTGAAAGAGACCACAGGCTTCAGTGACTAGAAGAGGTACTATCTAACCTCACTTTGTCACGCTACTAATTTATTACCTGCTCTGATCCCCAGCCACCCATCCATAAGATGTGACTGTGGTAGTGCCCTGGCCAAGAGACTGCAGGCCTGGGTGAGACATCACCAGGTCGGCCCCACTACAGGCCTCTTCCCTTCCTTATAGCAGGCAGCTGAGGAGCTCTGGCACTGTGTACCTGATGCCAGTGCTGGTGGGCACGCTGGGATCAGCTGGAAATCCCAAGCTGGAAAAATTGCTAAATGCACTTCTCTTTGCCAGGCTCCCTCCTGGAAGGTGGGGCTGGGAGACGAGGGCTCTGGCTACCTGAGGTCTGGCCCGGCACTAACACCAGATCCAAGGGCTGGGCATTGGGGGCTGCATGACCGTGTGCTCTTTGTCACCCTTTTTAAATTTTTCATTTGAGTGCAGTTTATTTATTACACGTGCAGTTGTAATAAATAATATCCCATGGATCTTTATCTGGTTCCCCTTGGTAGTGACATTTACATCACACTAGTGCAATCTCGCAACCAGGAAATTGACATTGCTGCAATCCACCAGCCTGTATCGGATTTTATCCATTTTATTCATTTGTGTGTCTGTTTACTTCTCGGTGATTTTTTCACACCGGTAGATTAGTGTAACCATCACACAAAGTCCCCTCACACTTGGCTTCCACAGCTATAGTCGCCACCCTCCCTTCCCCCATGCCTAGACCCTGGCACCCACTAACCTGTGCTTCAGTTGTCATTCTGCCATTGCAAGAGAGACCGGTAGATGGACTCCCAGGGCATGCAGCCTGTAAACTGGCTTTTTCCCAGCATAATTCCCACAGATGCACTCACATTCTTGCACGTCTCCTCTCATACTCTGCTCCTGTCATTTGTTGCTAAATAGCGTTCTGTGGTTCTGGGTGCTCCCCAGGGGGTTAACCATGCACCTACTGAAGTATATTTGGATTGTTTCGTTTGGGGCTCTTAGGAATAAAGGTGCTATGAACATCTGTGTACAGGTTTTTGTGGAACAGTAAGTTTTCATTTCTCTGGATCCAAACCCCAAAGTGCACCTCCACCACTTAATAAAGCAGGAGTTGGCCAAGCAGGGAAGCCTGTCAGGAGATGTGCAGTCCCCCTTCCAGAAGGAGGGGGCCATGAGACAGGTGTTTCTCCCACACCAGGTGTCTCACCTCTCACCGGTACATTGTTTGCAATGTGAGCGGTGCTGTTAGCCTCATGCTGAGGGAGAAAGACTTGTCCCTTCATGTGACTGTCAAGAAACAGCAAGAATCACAAATCCCTTCCTTCCCTCTGAGCCTAATGGCACTGGGAGAGGGAAGGCATCATTGGGACTGCCCATCTAAGGAGGCTAGAACCCCGCCCCTCTCCCTCAGTGTCTTGTTACACCCCATCTCTTTCAGGGAGACCAAGGGCAAGATGGAGCTGCTGGGCCTCCAGGGCCCCCTGGACTCCCTGGGGCTCGGGGCCCACCTGGAGACACTGGGAAAGATGGCCCAAGGGGAGCACAAGGCCCAATGGTAAGAGGGGCCCTGGTTCCATGCTTACCCAAACCCCAAACCCTGATCTCAGAACCAACTCCAGCTCAGCCCATACCAAGCCCCATTTAGAGCCTTACCCCAGTGAAACCTTCCATCTAACATTAATTGAGTTGCTAAGCCCAATTGAGAACCTGACTTATTCCCAAATCCTGATGCACACCCCCCAATTCAGGCCCTAAAATCTGACCCTGACGCCAAACCACTATCCCCACTCTAATCTTACATAGACCCTGACCGTGACCTTGGCTGCAATCTCAATCCCAGCCTTGACACATGCATAGAGACAGTAGTACAGATCTTTAGAACTTGTTTCTCTTTCCCCTCCCCACCCCCTCCTCTCCAGTACTAATTAGTCAGCTTCATTGCCCCCCATAGTCCTAACCTAAACTCCAGAGACCAGACCTCACTGTATCCTCCCTCTCCCAGACCAGGGGCTCCAGCCTGTCCTTCCTCTCCCATGCAGAGCCAACACCCCCATCAAAATCCACCGGGATCCCCTCTCAGAGCTGCTACTCAGCTGACTCATCTATTCCCTGTCATGTTGGGGACATAACCTGAGCTTCAACTTTCTCATCTGTGAAGTGGGAGAGTGTTTCCTCCTTTTCAGGGGATCAGGTACAAGATGTTGGCTCAGTGAGCTGTGAAGTCCCTATGTTCCCTCATGTCCATCCTCTTCTATCTCTCAGGGTCCCAAAGGAGAGGCTGGACAAGATGGCGAGATGGTCAGTACCTGGGGCATTTCCAAGGCCTAGGCCGGTGGATTCCAGGCCTGGAGACCCTTTCCCACACCTGCCCACACTGGGGTTGGTGACTACAGATACACAGCCCTGCACCCTGCCCCTCCAGTTTCAGCCTTCACACCTCATTTCTTGTTCCAGGGCCCAAAGGGACCTCCAGGAGCCAAGGTGAGTGCTTCTTAATCCTCATCCTCCTCCTCAGGCCTGGGCAAATTACTTATTGCCTCTCTTTACTCATCTGTTAAATGGGAGCATGATAAGCAAAGCAAGTAGAATTTGAATGCTCTCAATACCAAGAAAGGGTAAATATGGGAGGTGACATTGCCTTAATTAAATCAAGGGGAGTTTGCACACTGTATATGTGCATTACATCATCATGCACACGTTAAAGATTTACCATTTCACTTGTCAATTATGCCTCAATAAGGCTGAAAAATGATAAACCTTTTCTGCTCTACCTTCACCCTGGGTTGTGAGACTCAAATAACTAAACATGCTAGCTCTCAGCACCTTCTCTCTACCTCACAGCGACCCCCAAGACTGGGCAACATCCCCAGTTCCGAGAGCAGTTCTGGCTCAGGGCAATTCATCTTAGAGGGAACAAGGTGGGGAGTGGAATCCAAAGCTGCTGGTCCCACCACCCATGTGCGCCCCTCTGCGGCACTGGGGTCTCTGAACTCAGTGAGGCTGGTTTGACCAAAGGAGCAGGTGGCTCATGGCTCCGACCTCTCTTGTATCCCTCCCCCTCAGGGTGAGCCCGGAGTTCCTGGCAAGAAGGTGAGGGGTCTTCTGGCGGGAGTGTGGGAAGTGGCTAGAAAGAAGGGCTGGGGATGGGGGCAGGGGTCTGGGGGCCACCCTGTGGGAAGATGCCCTTTTCCACACAGCAGACCAGAGTTCTTCCTGTGGGTTAGTCTCCGAAGCCAGGATCTCATTCACTCATTCACTCATTCTCTCCCTTCCTCATACTACATATTTGTTCCCAAGACTGTGGTTCTCCAAGTGTGGTCCTTGGGCCAGCAGTACCAGCATCACTGGGGGCTGGTCTGACATGCTTAGTGTGAGCCCACCTACTTGCTGGGCATGGGCCATGCTCTGTCAAGCCACCGCTAGTGGGATTTCCCTGCTCCCTTCCCCTGCCCGGGGCTCTTCCCTGCTAGCTCGACACAGCTGTTCCTTCAGAATACCATCCTCAGCACCAGCTGAAGTGGGGCCTCCTCAGTCCATGCCTATCCTTCCATTCTCTTACATCCTCTTCCTTGCACAGCACCATATTCTCTGCACAGGATATTTCTTTTCCCTCAGCCTCCTCCGACCCATTTTAGGGACACGTCTGCCTGGCCCACAGAGGGTGCTTACAAGGTGTTTGCTGCCTGAATAAACTCCCTCGCCTTCACCAGCCCTCCCACTCCTCTGTACACTGAGATGTGCCCTGCATCAGCCCTGGGTGGTGGGGATGGGAGACAGAGGCGAGAATGGAACACAGGCACCGCCCTGTCCTGTGTAGCCAGCCTGGGGGCACAAGTGAACTGGTGTGCTGGGGAATGTCAACAGGAAGGCTCATGGCCCGCAGTCGGGCCGGCTTGTGGCCAGGTCTGACCTATCTGTTCTCTCCTCAGGGGGATGATGGAACACCAAGCCAACCAGGGCTCCCAGGACCCCCAGGGCCGAAGGTAGGTATACCAGTCTTTCCACCAGAGGTCCCACTGCCTCCCCCCTTGGTCCCCATCAGCCTGGTGAAGTCCCTGCCTGGCTTTTTTATGTCATGGGGGCATGGGCTTGCACCCAAGACAGGCCAAAGAAGCAGCAGGAAGGCCCCAGGCCCAAATCACTGAGGCTGGCAGTGCATCCCAGCCATGTACCCCCCTCACACCCTCAAGTGCCACCATAGCTGGACCCTCTCTGCCCTACCCACAAGTCCAGAACTGGGTAATAACTGGCTTCCCCAACCCTCAACATGGTCACCAGATCCTGCCCAGCCTGCCTCCAAATTATCTTTTGAGACCCTGGGCTGCTATGAATATGTTAAGACCAGCCTGGAAGGATTCCTTGGCCCCAAGTTACTGAGGCTGGGGAGAGCCTGAGGTCTACCCACACACCCCCATGGGCTCAGGCACATCCCCAGAACTAATCTCAAAGCCAGCAGCACTCACCCATGAATGTCCTGTTACAGGGTGAGCCAGGCAGCACGGGGACTAAGGGAGAGAACGGTGTGGACGGTGCCCCAGGACCAAAGGTGACATGATACACTGCTCCAGCTCCCTCGGGCCCCCCCCCATAGCACCCCTATCATGGGGAGAAGGTGTGTCTGCACCTCTAATAGACCCTTTTAACTGGGAGTCGCTCAAGATCTGGACCTAGGGGTCTGGTTGGACTGGCAATCAGGGACTGACCATAGGTGGGTGACAGAAGGCCTGAAGAGAGGCCAGGTCTCCACCAAAGCCAACTATGTGACCAGGTTACTGTGTAGCCTTGGGCTCCTGACAGTGGCCCATCCTTATATGATGTAAGATCAGAGGAGGGTCCCTTAGGTCTGCCAGGAACCCCATTTCTAGGGTGTCAAGTCACGTACATTGACCTGACCCCTGGGCTCCAGCACATGGTCCCTGTGCCTTTTGGGGGCAAGGGGGTGGTGGGGGCAGGGGTAGGGCTTCACCTCAGCACACATGGCTGCAGCCACATATCTCCACAGGGGGAGCCCGGCCCTCAAGGTGCCGACGGAGCTACGGGGCTAAGGGTAAGCTATTTCCCCGGGGATCCAACTGCCCAGGTCCTTCAGAAGCTCCTTGTTGCCCACAGACCTAAGAGGAGCAATGCAGCTCCAAGGACCAGGAGTCTTTTTTTATACAATAGTTCATATCTATTTTGTTGTTGTTGTTGTTTAATTTCATAACACATGGTCTTGGTAAATGCTGAAAGAGATAGAGTCGTGACCTCTCCCTGCTCCCCCCTTAACCATGGGTCTCTTCTCTTATGTTGGTCTAGTCAACATAAACCCTCAACTAGTTACATCACATCACCCTACCCCTGTGGGGGGCACTCCCAAGTCAAGGATCCTGCTCATCCCTGTCACCAAGAGCACAGCCACCCTGCTGCACCCAAATCTTTTGTGCCCCAACCTCATCAGCCTTCAAGTTGATGACCCAGATCCTGTTCTCAACTCTGTGACCTTGAGCATCACATCCCCTCCTGCTCCCAGAGACTGGTTTCCTCCTGAAAAAAAAAAAAAGAAAGAAAGAAAATCATTAAAGCTGGAAGCCTGTTTGTTCAGGAGGTAGAGGGATTAGATTGGGCACTGGGTACAAGACCTCAGTGTAAAAGTGCTGTGCAGGCTGCAAGCAAGTAAGGCTCAGGCCTGGGTCTCTGATGACAGGGGTTGAGTCAAAGGGTTAACTCCCCTCACTGTTCTCCTCACTGGGTACCTCACAGAGAGATACCCAGTGGGCAGGCAAGGCTCAGAGGGGAAGGGTAGAGCCAGTGACCATGCCTGAGTGCCTGTGTGGTTGCTTGACCACGGATGTGCAGACCTATACATGTGAGCGAGGGGTGTGGATTTATGTTCACATGCATGTGCAAATGTGGGCACATGTGTGCTAGGGACCTGGGTGAGGAAGTTAGCGCGTGGTATATGCAGCATCACCAGAAGTTGGAAACTGGAGTGCAGGACATGATCTAGTCAGCATGTCCTTTATTGGTCTGCACAGTTTTGGACTTATCTGCCAGCATCTGATCATCTCAGGAAACTCACATCAACATGAAATTTCCCAAATTCCCTACAGAACACAGGGGTACAGCTCAATGGGTGAATTACAGCCACCCCTAACCCAGGCAGGAGCATGCAGCTCAGCTGGTCCCAGAGAGTGTGCTCTGTCCCTTGTGCACACCCTGCCTGGCCCTTGCAGTGTCTTCTCAGTGAGCTGGGGAGCCATTGTCACAGTGGACATGGAAGACTGGACGTGCGGAGTTCTGGGCCCAGGTCACAAAGTTTGCTGGGTGACAGCAAGCTGGCTCTTCCCTGACTTCTTCCTCTTCTTCCTGCCTCAGGGCCTCCCAGGCCTCAAAGGTGAGCAAGGAGACACAGTGATAATTGACTACGATGGCAGGATCTTGGATGCCCTTAAGGTAATGTTCCTGACTAGGCCAGCTATGTCCTTGTCATTTCCTGAAGGAAAACCCATCTACTTTGTTTCTTTACAAAAGGGATCAGGGGCACAAATACTCCAACTTACCAGGTACCTGATAAGGAAATCAGTGCTATGTTGAGTCCCACAGGTGCTGAGAGAGCAGCTGTGCATATGGTCCATAAGGCCCTGAGTTCCCCAGAGGCCAAGGCAAAAGGGGTGTCTGGGCCAGACAGGCTCTCCTGGGGCCTTTCCAGAGGGCACAGGCTAGAAGACTTGATCTTTCAATGGCCATTGGGGAAGGATGAGTGGTGAGGCCTGGCCCCAGGAGCCTCAGGAGATGCTCACAACCCATTGGGACTCATCTCCAGTGATGAAAGAGGCTGGGTGCCAGTGGCTCACAAGCACCTGACTCCTGAGCCTCAATTCCAGTTATCTCCCACAGGCCTCAGGGAAGTACAAGTTGATGGTAACAGTGGCCCCCAGGCCTGCATGGTGTGGCATGGTGTGATGTGGCCCCGGGGCATGTTCCTGCATGGTATCTACTGTAGGAGAAGCTTGATGAGGACAGGGAGGTAGGAAGAAGGTTTGGGGTGCTATATGGGGATGATGGCACCACTGGATGGGCAGCAGCCATATTTGTTTCTTGAGCAGGCAAGTGATGTTAAAAAAAAATCATGTACAGACGGGTGAATTGGTGGTGGGAAGCCCATGGGAATTACAACTGAGATGAAACAATGCACAAAATGAAGAAAAAATATAATTTTTAAAAAATCATGTGTGGTGGGGAGACTAGCTAGGGATGAGATGGTAAGTGTAAGAAAGTAGGTTGGGGCAGCTGGAGGCAGTGAGGATGCATGGGGAGGTTGTCACTGGATCCAGGGCCTGGAAGAGGGCAAGTGGGGTGAAGGGTAATAGTAAGATGAAAGCCATCTCAACAAGAAGGAGCTGACTGATTGAGGTGGGGGAAACTAGAGATTATTGGGCCAAGGGGCTAAGCTGGGTATGGCCCTGGGGAGGGGCATGAATTTGGGGTGCTGACAACCTACGGGGGGCAGCTGGAATGGGGCAGGAGCTGTGAGTTGGGTCAGACCTAGACACAACAGCCCCTACCCACGAGACCCCAGGAACTGCCCGGGAGACCACCAAGCAGCAAGCAATGGAGCCGGTGGCCAAAGAGTCCACAGGACAGGCCAAAAGGCAGGGTGGTTTCTGGGGATGCAGTTTGTGGTTGGCCTTAAACACCAGTGGGGACTTATGGTCGCTCCTAGAGACAATAGGAGTATCTCAGGATCTGTATCTGAATTTCTGTGAAGAAAATTATATTCACGGGGAGCTTGCTCTGAAGGCTAAAGGATTCTGGAAACACCATAGCTGGACACTGCAGCTTCTTCCAGACCTCCCCCAAGACACTGGCCTGACCTGAGTGGGTGGGAAGCAGGCTATACAGGCCCCTGACCCTCAACTGGAAGAGCTACGGCCCCAGGGTGGAAGGGGTGGGCGGGCAGATACAGGGAGTCCCTCTTCTGGATGCTGACCAGCTTGACTTTCACACAGGGTCCTCCTGGGCCACAGGGGCCCCCAGGACCACCAGGGATCCCTGGAGCCAAGGTCAGTGCAGATGCAGCTGTGTGGCCCTCAAACCTTTGTCTCCAGAACCTGTCCCCCCCACCACCATGACCCTCATTTCTCTCCAGGGTCCTGCTAGAGGTTCTAGAGGTTATCCAGGGGCCCTGCTCCTTTCTACCAGCTAGTGCCTTCATCCCAGGCCCAACTTACTCCCTGGGGAGTTTCATCCTCACCTTCCATCCTGATACCCCAAAACTCCTGTAGATTGCATCATTTACACCTTGTGTCCCTGGCTCTGGAGGAGCCAAAACTGAGCCCTGTCAGGGCTGACCCTGGTTTCTGTTGCCTGGAGCAAATCACAGGGCCCTCCAGCCCAGCTTCCAAAGCTGTAACTTTCGGCATACATGGTGCACTGGGACGGGAGGGGCCAGGTGAGGAGGGCAGAGCCAGCCCAGCCCAACCTTCAGGTCATAAATCTCTTGGAGGGAACCTTCAGCCATTGTAACCCTTCTTGCTATCTTTTCTTTCCTAGGGTGAACTCGGATTGCCCGGCGCCCCAGGAATTGATGGGGAGAAGGTCTCTGGGTCTTTTGTTTCCTTGATGATGTCAGTGTCTGGTGTCAAGCTCCGTGTGTGTGTGTGTGTGTGTGTGTGTGTGTGTGTGTGTGTGTGTACACTTGTGCACAGAACTGGTAAAAGGCCACATTTTCTGGCAGCCTTGGTGTGAGGATTAAACAGATGAATGGAAAACACTGAGGGCGATGCTTGGCACATAGTGGCAAAGAACCTCCCAATGTTAGCAGACACCATCCCGGAGTTAGTATTGTAAATATAGATATTGTAATGCTGTGGAGACACTGTCCATGGTGCCACTTGAAACTTATGGGCAGGCCTTGCATTGGGCCCCTAGTTGACATTACACATTGTTAGGTGAGTATGTTGTTAGGTGAGTATGTTGTGGATAGAAGGGGGCTGAGGAGATGATAGGTTGCATGTGGGGCTTGGGGGCTCCCACCACTACATTCTGAGAGGTAAGGACACGATTAAGCCCGAGCCCCCTGTAAGTGCCACCTCAGTTGCCGATCCCACCCACTCCACCCCTGATCCCTGCAACTCCGTTACATGAGGGAGGCTTAGGGATGCCCACTCCTGGCCCCCTTCCAGGCCCCTTGGTACACTCATCACACAGGCCAGAACCCATAAAGAGGAAGTAGGGTCTGGGCAGACTAAGGCTGGGACCTGCCGGATGAGGAAAAGGAGGACCAAACTTTGGTCTTGGGCTTCCAGGGTCTCAAAGGGCCAAAAGGAGACCCAGGAGAGCCTGGATCGACTGGACCCAAAGGAGAAGCAGGCGAAATGGGCCTGTCAGGGCTTCCGGTATGTGATGGGCCCTGAGGTGGGATGGAATGAACGTGTACCTACTAGAGGAGCTGCTGGGGCTAGGACCCATGATTTTAGCCCAGCCTGGGGGTACTAAGCCTTTGAAGGGAGGCTCCAGGCTCCCAGTCAGCTAGTCTGTCTGAGCCTCTGGTGCTTCCCCACAAAAGGCTTCATTTAGGTGAAATCAGGTGTGCCCCGTTTTGTGGAAGGGAATCAGTGGGTGGTTACACACATGCTCTTACTGCCAAGTTTACGTCCTGCTCTAGAATCCTGCACTAGTGCCTTAAACCCCTGAGCCTCAGTTTCTACCTCAGAAATGGGGATGATCATTTCCACTTCCACAGGGAAGCACAGACAAGGCTGAGAATGGCAGTTGGTACCCATAGTCAGTCACGGTCCTCAGGCCCCTTGTTCTTGTCAAGGCTGCCCTGAAAGAGCTGCCAGGTTGCTGCAGCCACTCAACCCCCAATGCACCCCTCTAGGAAGCCCACTTAGCTAGGGAACCTGGGCCTTCCCTTCCTGAGCACCTGGCCACCCCTGTCCCTCCAGCAATAATTCATACCTCTATTAGTGTGTTCCCTAAATACATCTCTACTGGGCACCAAAGGTATGTCACAGTGATTTAGGGAGAAACTATTTTAAGCTGCAACGGCCAACTTATTCTACTGCCCAGGGCCTTATGGGGAAGGAAGGCGGGTACTGAGCACTGTGGGTGGTGGCTTGGGTGATGGGCAGAAAGAGCTCAAGGCCATCCTGTCCTGCAGGGCTCCGATGGCCCCAAGGGGGAGAAGGGAGAGCCAGCATCGGACAACCTGAGGGAGAGTCTGGTAAGGGGGCTGCTAAGGACCAGAGGCTCCCTGCAATGCCCAGCCCAGACCATCTGGGGCCCCAAGCCTTGGGATCGAAGGGCCACTTGGCCTGACCAAGCCCAGAGCAGTGGGGGAGGAAGGGAACCCTGGACTGTGTCCTCTGCCTGAGGTCCATCTGAAAGCCCAAAGGCCAGCTGCTGGAACCCCACCAGACAGTGCCCATCTCAGGACAGGAAGAAGCCTGGGCCTGGTGGATCTGGACGCCCATTGCTCCTCTGGTGTCCAGTGAGCTCAGGACCACGGATGGGTGGGGTGATGGGGTCTAATCCTCTTCTGATTCCTTCCTAGACCCAGATCATAGTGGAACCAGGACCTCCTGGCCCTCCTGGTCCCCCAGGCCCTGTGGTAAGAAAGTTTGACTTGAAACAGCTGGGATGTGAAGAGCATGTGGACCCAGGCTGGGAGCTATGACCCTAGAGGATTCCCCCAGGGAAGGGGCATGCCAGGCAAGGAGGGTAGAGGCTGCAGAGATCAGGGCCACAGGGCTCAGGAGTGGTCTGCAAGCTTCTATGGCCACTATAAGAGGGCTGTAGCCCTGACTCTGGATCTAGCCCTACTTCCTCCTGATATGTTGTCCCCCTCCTCCAGGGCCTCCAAGGAATCCAGGGTCCCAAGGTGAGTTGTGGGACATGGGTGGAAACTCCCCTTACTTGCTACAGAGCAAACCTTGCTAATGGACAAAGTAAGGGCTCCACCTTCCAAATCAGCCCAGGCTCTTCCCCAGGGCCTGAATGTGGCCAATTCCCTGGCACAGACCTCCCTACCCTCAGAGCTGGTGATCCCCACCACCTCACATACTTGGGGGGGGAAGGGTCTGTTCATCACTTTCTCCTCTGCCTGGAGTCCCCAGTCCTTGGACTCCCCCTTCCTTGCACCCTCCCTCCACCCCACTCCACTCCCCTGCACAATTATCTGTCAACTGCCCACAGCCTGGACACGAAATCTTATGTTCGTTGTGTATTACATAATGTCATGTCTCTGCTCTTAAATTAAAACCATGAGTATGGCCTCCCTGTCCCTGCCCCTGGAGGCCCACACAGCAGGGGAGGCCAGCTGGCCCCACTGCTTGCCACGCCCCCGGCGTCTCTACTCATTTACTCAGCTGCACACATGGCCCAACCAGATGTGCTGCTTCTGGTTCTGTTTTGTCACTGTCCCCCTAGATCATGTTTAGAGTAGGCAGCTGCCATCAGGGACAGCATACAAGGCTGGGACTCTCAGCCCTGCTACTTCCTGGCTGTGTGGCAGAAGGAGCTGGTCCCCACTCTCATCTGTGAAGTGACTGTGACCCTAACTACCTGGCATGATTACTGAAGGAGTCCATGTGGGAAAAGACAAAATGTGTTCCCCCACAGCACCAACTGAATATTCACCCACAAAGGAAGCTCCAGCCTGGCTCGTCAGAGCCTGGAGTCTGTCCCCCAGCTTCACTCAGGCTCCAAGCTGTCCTGTCATACTATCTCTCTGGCCCTCATACCCCTGACTCATGTGACCCCTTTGATTCCAGGGTTTGGATGGAGCAAAGGGAGAGAAGGGAGAGACAGGAGATAGAGGCCCTGCCGGGTTGCCTGTGAGTTCATGAGCCTCTTCTGTCCCAGCTGTAATTCCGATAATCAGCATGCCTCTTGACCCCTTCCTTTTCCATCCAGGGCCCAGCTGGCCCACCAGGCCTTATTGGGCTGCCAGGAACCAAAGGAGAGAAGGTAATCATCTTCCTTTAGACACCACCCCCCCCAGCCCGCCCCCACCGTGGTGTCAACTCCTGCACCACTGTTTAAACTAGTGGTCAACTTACAAGGCCAAACTTTCCAGCACCTGTGTTCCCAGGGCCCTTTTCCTACCCTCTTCAAGCCTCCTCTCTGTTTCTCCTCAGGGCAGGCCTGGAGAGCCAGGACTAGATGTAAGTATTAACCATCCACAGTGATCAGGTACCAACTATGCATAGTTTCTGCCCCCTGCTACCTGGGCTAAGCCTATAACTGGTTCTCCCTGAGTCCCCAGTACCAAGTCCAGTTTACAGCCCAGGGTAGGTATTGGATGGATGGATGGATGGATGGATGGATGGATAAACAGGTGGATAGATGATTGATTGATTGATAAATGATATGAAATGGATAGATAATAAATGGATGAATGAGATGACTAGTGGCTGGAGGATAGATGAATGGACGAGGGGTACATGATGGGTAATAGATGATGGATGGATAGATAGTGGTAGATAACTAGATATATGGGTGATAGCTAAATGGATAATAAATTATAGATGAGTAGATGATGGGTGGATGTTTGGAGGCTGGATGGGTGGTAGATAAATGAATGAATGGATAACTGATATATTAAAGGATGATGGATGGCTAGATGGATGGTGGATGAATGAGTAAATAATAGATTAACAGATGGGTGGGTAAGTGGATGCATGGATGTTGAATGGTTGGATGGGTGAAGGGTAATGGAAGAATGGATGAGGCATTGGAACAGGGAAATGGGAAGAGCAATGAAGAGCCTGTTGCAATATCCTGGTGAATGATGATGAACCTTTACTTAGGGCAGTTTTTTTGAAAGGTAATAAGGGAATTTCTAGCCCAATGTTGTTTAGGTTAAGTCTCTTTCATTTGCAAGAGTCAGAAAATTCAGAGGTACAGCATTTGAATCCAGAATTCAACTGTGTCTTCATAGTCCAGCCTCTCGCTTTCCATTCCCTCTGCTTCCGCTGGGTGGGCAGCATTCCACGTTCCACAAAGTGATTAGACCCACATCCTTCCAGGCCCAAATTCCAGAGAAAGACAACTTACCTCACTGTCTACATTAAAAGTCTATTTATTTATTTACTTGTTTGTTTATTTAATCAGTGTTCACTTTTGTACAGTGTATGCTTTCTCCTCTCAGGTATAGCCCCAGTAAAATTCCCACCACCAAGTCATCTGTGCACCAGGACCACACTCCTTGTGCTCTTCCCTCCCATCTTTTGATCACTCTCTTCCCCTCCTCTGCAGAATGTCTCTGATTTATAGTTGCCTGTTAATTTGGCTTTTTAATTCTTTTTCCTGATCCCTTATTTGGTTCCCCTATATTCCTCCTAAAAGTGAAACCATCCGATGCTCTTCTTCTTCCTTTGGTCTTATTTCACCGACTACTCTTAAAAGTCTCAAGTCTCACTGGCCGCATTAGGTGACATGTCACATAGTATAGGAATGCCACACCCAGCCTGATTACATGCATAACCCTGAAGTTGGGGTGGAGTCATGGGCTGAGAGAAGGAAAGATCCTACCCAGGAAAGGCAGGTAACTATTGCAAGGAAAATGGCAGCTACGCTGCAAGGACTTGGTGACCCCCGTAAAGTTTAAGGAGAGAATAAGAGAATACCACCTTTGAGAGCAATCAGGGACATGAGAGAGAACTCTCACACGTTTCTAAATGGAAGAGAAGAGCCAGGCGATGATGATACTGAATCCATTTCAGGTTCTGGTGCCTGGGAGACGGGAGGGGCGGAGCTAGCGAGAGCCCCTCCCCCAGCCACGTGGCTGCAGCTGCCTTCTAAGAGACTTATATCTCAGAGAAGCTTCCCAAAGCCAGTGACCCTACCTATCTGGGGACTCCCAGCCCAGTACTGCCCAGGAAGCCCAGCTGAAAAGAGAGTCTGCTCAGGAATCTTCCCCGACCTCTCACCCAGACAGAACAGAACCTCTCCCTGTAACCTGTGGCATCTTGGTTCATATCTCTGTCACTGAACTTTGCTCATCTTCTGCACCCCACTTCTGATGTGTTAGAGCCATATGTGGCACATTCAAACCAAAGGGGTTTTAATTCACAGAGGTAACTGAGTAATAACACAAAGATGATTCGTTCAAAAAGTCTTTGAAAGAACAATGTATTTCTTTCCTTCCCTAGTGAAGGATACACTGCACTATACAGTGCCACATGGAGAGGCACCAGTTTTGATCAGGAGCCAGAAAGGAATTGGCAAAGACTTGGCCAGAGCTTTTGGGAGCTTTCCATTGGAAAGACTAGGCAAAACAGTATGGACATCTTCAGACAGGCCATTTGAATAGTTCCTGTGGGTTCTGGGCTATAAGCATTATCTGTAGCTGCCTGTCACCTGGCCAGGGGTGATTTCAGACACAGGAAATGCTGGTTTGGTGTGTAAGAGTTAGATAAAGAGAGTATTTGAGGCTTGGTTGGTTTGCATGTAAATGGCACCTTCCCTTTGCTGTCTTTCAGAGCTGATTGGCAAGCACTGGGGAAGCTGTGTCTACCTGGCCAGCTAGACATTTTCCTCTTTTTTTCTTTTTTTTTATGTAAGGTTGCATCACATCATGTAAGTTCCAGGCTTTCATCACTGAGAGCCAACATGCGTAAATACTCCCTTACGGTCGCCACTAAGAGTACAATTCTACCTTTCATCTTACCATTATCCTCTTCTTCCTGGTGCTCCCCTCCTCCTTCACATTGCCTTCTGGCAGCTACTAGTTGGTCTTATCATCCAAAAGTTTATTTTTGTTTCATTTAGGTTATCTGTTTATTTGTCCATATACCTCATGTGAGTGAAATCATAGATGTTTTTCTGCCTAGCTACTTCATTAAGCATAATTCTCTGTATGTTCACCCTTGTTGTTATAGATGGCAGAATTTCATCATTTTTTAAAGTGAACAATAGTGTTCCATTGTATATAGAGACCACATTTCAAGTTATAGGCACTAAGTTTGTTTCCAGTTTTAGCTATTATTACAAATGTAATAAACATGGGAGTGCCTACATGCCCTTGAATTCGTATCTTTATATTTTTTGGGTAAATACCGAGAAGTGGGATGACTGGTTTGTGTGGGAAGTCTTTTTTATTTTTTGAGGAATCTCCATACAGCATTCCATAATGACTGCAATTTACATTCCCACCAGCAGTGTACAAAGGCCCCCTTGTCTACACATCCTCTCCAATAGTTGGTGTTTCTTGTCTTTTGGATAACCATCCTCACAGATAGATATTAGGTGGTATCCATTTTGATTTGCATTTCTCTAGGTGATTTGCATTTCTCTAAGAATAAAGATTATGGACATTGTTTATTGGCAATATGTATGTATTCTTTGGAGAAATGTCTATTCAAATCCTCTGTTCTTTTTTCACTTTTTTTTTAAGATTTATTTATTCATACAGAACTGGGGTACAGGCCAAAGATGCAGAGGGTGAGAGGGTTCACCAGAGACAAAGCGGGGAGCAGAATAGGCAGATCGACAAGTACACTGCTGAGGCTAGCAGCGGGCGGGTCAGGAGAGGTCTGCCACGCCCTGTGGTCACCTCCAGGGCAGGCGGGAATCGAACTCATGCGGAAGCGGCTTTAGCTTCTCAGTGCTGTGCTTTAACCCGCTGTGCCACCAGGGAGGGCCCTTCACTTTTTTTTTAATTGTTGAGCTTTATGAGTTCTTTGCTTACTTTGGGTATTAACCCCTTTGTTGGCTATATATTGGGCAAATATCTTCTCCCATTCAGTAGCATGTCTTTTCATTTTGATGCAGGAGCTTTTTAGTTTGATGTAGTCTCATTTGTTCATGTTTGCTTTTGTCTCCCTCACCACTGGAGTGACAGGACCTTTAACATATTGAAATATGTTAAAATAAAAACCATAATTAATAAAGAGGGAACACATCAGGTCTGGATGATGGATGGACAATAGATGAATGATGATGGATAGAGGATGGGTGGATGATAGATGAATTTATCTCAAAGCCAAGTCCAGTGGATGCTTAGAAATGTTGTTTGAATGGGTGGGGAGGAGGAGCAATGTATGAGAGAATGAGTCAAAGGCACATAGAGCAGTCACCCATTCTCAGTTGGTCAAAGATGGTGACAAACTTCCGTGGTTTTCCTGGCTCTCCAGCCCTAGCCAAGCTAGGGCCAGTGCCTACTGAATCTGAGCATTATGTGAAAGAAGACCCCTTGCTAGTGGCACTGCTGGGTGATTCCTTCCAGAAGCACAAGGCCACCTAGGAGTTGGGGTTGGCTAACTGGTACCATGAATGTGCATGGAGGGAGGGGCAGTGATGGGCAGGAAGGGAGCAGAAATAAACAGATGACAGCAGCAAACCTCAGTTCGTATTTTTCACTTTAATCTTCGATCCTTTTGTCAGGGTTTCCCTGGACCTCGAGGAGAGAAAGGTGACCGCAGTGAACGTGGAGAGAAGGTGGGGGCAGGTGGAGAGAAAACGGGCAGGTGGAGGCTGGGAAGGGGCACAGGGCAGGGGTAGTTGCAGGTCCAGCCTTGTCTCTGGTAGGCGTTGGAGGCCAGCCATGGCCATAACCCCATCTCCTCCTTGTACAGGGGGAGCGAGGTGTCCCAGGACGGAAAGGAGTAAAGGGCCAGAAGGGTGAACCAGGACCTCCAGGCCTGGACCAGCCGTGTCCTGTGGTATGTGTCAGAGCAGGCTAAGTATCTCAACCCATCCTTTGCTGCCTTTAGCTGGTTTCAGGCTAACATCTTCCCAGTTATCAGAGCTCAGCTGCATACCCCAGAAGCCAAGCTGGCACTGCCTGGGGTGCCCACCCTGACAGGCCACCTTTGCCAGCACTACTGTCAAGCTCCTTCTGCCCTGGTCCCAACCCCCTATAGAGATGGAAGAGTGGCCAAGGGTAGAGTCCCCTCAGCGTCCAGGGCCGTAAGGGGAGCGAAAGCTACCTCGCCTCTGTCTTTCCACTCCATCCCTGAAAAAGGTTTATTCAGTCTGCAGTGGTCTAACTCTTCCCGAATCTTTGTCCTCCCCTGAGCCCCTTCCTTTGCTTCGCAAATCCCCAACTTTTTTCTTTCCTATCCTCTCCCACAGCCCCCAACCTGGTGCCTGAAATAGCCAAAAATTTTCAGTTCCTCTTTCCAGAAGACGGGAGGGTTTACATGTGGACTCTTCCAGAGGAACTCAGAAAAGCAAAGAAAAACACAACTGAGTTTCCATACGGCCACATATTCAGACCCAGCTCCACTCTAGCCGCCCCCCCCCCCACTCCCCCACCCCAGAGCATGGAGAGGAACCTCCAGCTATGAGGTGGAAGGTTGCCTTCCAAAGGGCTCCGGAGCTAGGGGCCCAGACCTCTGATGTCCATTATCCCTTAGTCTCCTCATCCATATGGGACACTAGGAATTAGTATTCCTTCCTCTGATGGTTTTGAGGAATCCAAAAATAAAGACATGAAGAACAGAGCAAAAGCACACACAGGAAGTGCAAGGGGCAGCAGGGGACAGGTGGACCCATACCTCATGCCCTGGGCCAGAACTTACCTCTAAGTCATAAGTCTTTGTCTTTGAAACAGGAGAATCCTAAATGCGGAAGCAAACGAGGGGCCCTGGGCTCCAGGGTCCTGACGAGGGGCAGCGGGTCCTGCCCTGTGGTATGCGGTCTTCTCTGCTGTGTGCTGTGCTGTGCTGTGTTGGGCTGGGCTGGGCCAGGCCCTCCGGGCCACCTGTGTCCACAGCTCTGCTCTGCCTTTCCTCCCCTACTGCCTTTGCATTCTGCCCCTCCTCCTCACTTCCTTGCAGGCCCCAGCCTGTGCTCCCACATTCTGAGACCTCTGTGTGTATCTTGAAATAGAGTTAAGTGTGTTCACCCAAGGTCCCTAGGGATGCTAGCTGAAATTCAGCCTTTGTCCCTTGCTCATTCCCCCAATACAGGAAACTATCCACTGCTCATGTGAGGTGGCTGAGTTGCCATGCTGATGCCTCTAGATACCCCACATCCCTGCCCAGTTTGTACCCTAATGGCCTTCACCTGCCTCACTCTGTCTGCTACTCCGACAGAGGAACTAGGCTGGGGCTGAGAGGGATGTTTATTCACTCATAGAGAAAGCTATCAGGACCCCGTGAGAGGGCTCAGGGCCCCTGTCAAGACCGCCAGGCAGGAAGCCATGCAGCCCCTTAGCAGGGCTAGGCCCGGCCCTGCTCCTGGCCTCCAATGTCCAGCATGCTGCCTGGTACTTCACAGTGGCCTCCACAGTCCCGTGAAAGCACACTTGGGGCAAGCAGTCAGGGGTCTGTGTCCCACGACTGGCTACTCAGGGGAAGGGCAGTCATTCGAGTCCTACCTTGGCATCAGGCAGCCTCGGTTGGAAACTCCTGGACTGCACCTCTGTGTATCCAGGGCAGGGGCATGTGGAATGTTCAAGAACCCCATCACTGAAACTGCCTTCCTTTGCAGGGCCCCGATGGGCTGCCCGTACCTGGCTGCTGGCACAAGGTACCTTCCCAAAAGCACCGGCTGGGTAGAAGTGGGGGGACACTAAGGGGTCCCAAGGCTGGGTGTCATTGACCTCCTACACAGTCACTGAAGGAATGGTCAAGTTTCCCATCACCCCCCCCCCACCTAGTTTCAACTCACTCATAATGTGGTCCAAGACCTGTGGTCCTGGGTGATTGTGTTCAACCCACCCTACTGGTCACTCAGGCCCCACTGGTGCAAAGCACCAGTGCCCCTGGGACCTTGTCTAGCCCAAGAGGGTGTGGGGGCCAGGAGCAAGTGACTTGGGGGCACATCTGCTCCACAGATATATCAAGATAGGTGCCCAGGGCAGGGTGGGTGCCTCACGACCCCTCCTCACCTTTAGTCTTTCCCTCCGCTTCCAGTGATCTCCAGGACCCAGTTCACAACCTGTACAGATGCGTGTGGACATTTTAAATGTTTGTAAAAACAAAACAGTAATATATTGATTTTTTTTATGGATGTCCCACCTGTGGCCTTTTTAACATTTGAGAGCATGCCCACCCCAGCACAGGAATGACCAGCATGTGAGGCTAGCAGGAAAGTGGCCAAGCCAGTCGCCAAGAATGGTGTACTCATGGAGCACATGGGGGCTTGGCTTTCTTGGAAGCAGACGAAGGTGAAAGCGCCTGGCTCCGGTGAGGCTGCAAAAACACCTGGTTGGGCCTTCAGTCACCTGATCAGCAGAGAGACTGCAGCTGCCCCCTGTCCCCTGAAGCTCTGGGGCCCCTGGGCCTGACCCCATTCTAAAAGGCCAGAACTTGGACTAACACTGCAGATGCTCCCAGCCTCTCTGGCCTCAGCAGGAGCCAGCTTGTCCACTCCTTAGGGTCCCGCTGGGTCCTGGGTTCAGCAGGGCAGAACAAGACTCCCACCCAGCAGTTGGAGCTGGATGCTGGAAGCTGTGGCAAGCAGCCCAGACAGATCTACTGCCAGTTCAGTAGACAACAGGAAGCCAGCCTGTATGAGAACATGTGTCCTCTGATCCAAAGTAGAGACCAAGCACTGTGATCGCCATCATGTGGACCCAGCTGGAGGGAGCCCCATGACACCCAAGTGTGGAGGATGGTGGGGCACAGGCTACAGTGACTGCCACTTCCAGTTTGTCTCCATGGTCCCCAAACATGGATGTGATGAAACTTAGCTGGCCTGAGGAGATGGGCCTCCAGTTCAGAGCTCAGGTTTCACTGGCCCCAAGTCTCCCACCTAGGAGAACTCTCGTCAGTCTGCCAAAATTGTCCTCCAGTGAGTGGGCAGAGGAAGAGAGCCTCAGGGCTGGTTTCCAGCCACCTGACCAGAGGGCCTTTGTGGAACGAAGCTTTCCTCCTCCAACCACCCTTCAGCTGAGCTACTTGCCTCTCCTCTCTGTATAGATAAATATCTCTGCGTGTAATAAACTGCCAAGGTGTGCTGGGTGTATCTGTCCTTGTAGACTACTCCTCTGTGGGGTATCCCTGGGTAAGGTTAGCCAAATAACAAAAAAAAATCCAACCCCACTCCTTTAAAGATCAAGCTTCCTTTGTTAAATGATTCTTGAATTGGATAGCACTGAGAAAGCTACTCCTAAAAGCTACACAAAATGAAAGGCTTTTATAAGCAAGAAGAGGCAAGATTGAGAATGAGAGAATTATTTCAGGCATAGGTAGCCTACATTTGGAGAATGCAAAAAGGACTTATGGCAGATGATCTCATCTTCCTTTGGGGAATTGGAAAAGATGACCTCAATGGTGCTGGTCAGAAAATTCCATAGTCACCAGGTAGGAATTCATCCCTGGGGAGGTTGAATCCACAGGGTAATTTAAACCACAATTAGGTTTGGTCTTAAGTCTTTGTGCTTGGGCTTAACACAAGTGCCTCCATTTTGGACCTTTTTTAAATTGGTGTCCAGCAATGAGTGGTGAGAGACAAGGGGACTTTTCCTGGGCCCAGGCCACCATGGAAACAAGAGGAAGTAGTTCAGGTCAGGGAAAGATAACATTTAGAAGGAAGACATGGAGCCCTCCCTTGTGGCACAATGGGTTGTGATGTAGCCCTGCAAGCAAGCCGCAGCCGCTTCAGCACAAGTTCGATCCCCATGGCCCTGGTGGTGGCCCACAGGGTGCAGCAGACCTCCCGTCTCACCTGCTGCTCCCTTCAGCATTGTACTTCCTTGATCTGCCTATTCTGCTCCCAGCTCTGTCTCTGGTAAATCCTCTCACCACCCCTGCACCTCTGTCCTGTACCCCAGTTCTGCATGCATAAACAAATAAATCTCTTTTTTTAAGATTTTATTTTAAATCTTTAAAAAATAAATCTTTAAAGATTTTATTTAAAAATCTGAAAAAATCTTTTTTAAAATATTTTATTTTCGCATACAGAACTAGGGTATAGGTCAGAGGTGCAGGGGCGGTGAGAGGATTTACCAGAGACAGAGCAGGGAGCAGAATAGGCAGATCGAGGAAGTACACTGCTGAGGGAAGCAGCAGGTGAGACAGGAGAGGTCAGCTGCACCATGTGGATCACCTCCGGACCAGGGATTGAACTTGCACTGAAGTGGCTTCAGCCAGCTTGCAGTGCTGCACTCTAACCTGCTGTGCCACCAGGGAGGGTCCCATAAATAAATAATTTTTTTTAAAAATAGAAGGAAGACGTGGACCAGAGAGGCGTGGGCCTGTTATTACCACTTGAGCCCTCTGACTAGTTACATGCATCACTGGGCCTTTGAGGACTCCACTGACCAGTGACTATTGTATAACAAGTCACCTCTAAATGTGTTGTCCTAAAACAAGGACATCTCTATTTCTGGCTTGCAGAGGTAAATGGGCTTAGCTAGCAGGCGATTGTGCTCAAGTTCTCCCATACCTCGCAGGTGATACTGACTCTCAGTGGGACGTCAGGTGTCCAGAATACCCGACCCAGGCAGCCCCATAGTCTGGACTTCCTCACAGCATGGCACCGGGTTCCAAGGGTAAATGTCCCGGGTGGAACTGGTGGAAATAAGGTCAGCTTGTATGGCAAAGCCTTAAATCACATGGTTTCACTTCCTGCCATAATTAGAAATTCATCCCAGTTCAAGGGGAAAATGTCATTCCCCTATTTTAAGAAGTAAATGTGGAGTCACAGATCTTGTTGCTGTGCTCTTAGAAAATTCAACCAGCCATCTCATTTGTAAAATGGGACAGTGATGCTCACACCAGAGTGTGGTCAAATGAGAACAATTATGTGGAATACTTGAAGGACCTAGGACAGGTCAGGTGCTTGGAAGCACCATGACTCAGTTCCCTCTCTCCTCTGACCCAAGACCAAACAAGTGCCATAGTCTAACAGCATTTCTATACCTCTCACCCCGCTGGTCCCACAACAACCCTGAGGAATGAGTCCATTTCACAGATGACAATACCAACATGCAGGGTGGTATGGACAGGACTGAGTCTCTGGCCTTCTCTTCCCCCAGTTCTGAGGCCTAAGGAAGGCCATAGAATGGGCAGTCCCCCAGATGCATACTATTCCGTGACTCTCTTGATAAGCAGGAGAGGCCCAACCACAACAAAGGAGGAAGAACTCACCAAGTCCCCACCCCTGTCCCTAAGTCACGGGTGATAATGGCAGGCCACGCTGCTTGACCAGCCACCCAGGTCTTTGGGGCTCCCTGTGTCCCAGTGCAGAGACCACTGGGCTCCAAGTGTCCTTGAGCACTAGCACCACATCTCACAACTCAACTGTACCTCACAGCTTGTCATTCACTCCTTTCTCTACCCAGGTACCTCCAAGGTACCTTCTCAGCCCTGTGAAGGCCACAAGCTGTGTGGGAGGTGTCACCGAGTCTGTGAAATATGGGAAGTCTGGGGATTCAAGGGGAAAGCGTCCTGCCCTGGGGTGCAAGACCAGGAGGTGGTGGCAGACTTGAGTGTGGACTTGCCACTGGCCTTCAGATGCCCAGTTCATCTTTCTGAAATCGTTCAGCAAGCAGGGAGTTTGCTAGGCAACTCCAAAACTGCGGGTAATTAATGAGCAGCTCTCTCTCTGGTGGAAGTCATGCATTCCCCTTGCCCCAGGATAAGGCCATTTGTGGCTCATTACTGCCCTCTTGTGGCATCATACCACATCTCCTCAGGTCTGCAAACTAAAATCTAAAACATACTGAGCCCTCCAAGAATTTGGTAGGAGCAAGAGACTACAGAAAAATAAATGACTCTCAAGGTCTGGAGCACCCTGCCTTCCAGCTGAGCCCCGATGACTGAAAGGTCTTATTTCTTGTTAAGAAGGGTAGTTCTGCCTCACACCCCTGTTTAAAAGAAAGGGAAGCCTGTTTATTGAACCCCATTCTGTTCCATGGTTGCTAAACTAACCGTAAACTTTCCACTTTTGCAAATGAATACGAGGCTTGGAGCACTGAGCTTACCTAAGTCTCCTTCCTCCTGATCCCTGGATATTGGTAGAGATGAAAGGGATGTTTATAGTTGTTTTAGTAATTCTAGTTATTCCTGGCATTCAGCAAGGGTAGCAAACATCAAAAATGCACAGGACAGTTGTCACACATGGGATGACTCACCTCACCCAGAACACCAGTGTGCCTGCTTTGAGAAACACCATGTTCTGGATTCAAATTTGGACTCAGTCTCACCTCCCCCTTCCCTTGCATTCTTGCCCTCAATGGCATCCCAAAGGCAGGACATGAGAAAGCAAACAGAGAAATGCTTAGCAAGGACTCAGAGCCAGGAAAGAGAGAGCTTTTCTGAGTAGGAAAACAGGACGGTGGGAGGGAGGATTTCTCATGGTGTCCTGCTCCCTGTTATAGATACTCTTGGCCCAGGAAATGTCCAACTGGTTTGACATACAATTGTATGGCCTCTGAACCTGCACATCCCTTGAGCCTGTGAGATGTGGGCTGGGCCAGGCTGCAGGCTTCTCACTCTCTAATCTGAACAAACTCTGACTTATCTGAGCTGCACTGGACCTGTAATAAGACAGGCCTGTGTTGGCCTTCCCTGGTGGTGCAGTGAGCCTGCAGCACCCCCTTGATCCCTGTCCAGGGAGGTGACCCACATGGCACAGCAGACCTCTCCTGTCTCACCTGCTGCTCCCCTCAGCATTGTGCTTTGTTAATCTGCCTGTTTTGCTCCCCACACTGTCTCTGGTGAGTCGTCTCCCCTGCACCCCTGTCCTGTACCCCAGTTCTGTATGCATAAATAAATAAATCTTAAAAAAAAAAAAAAAAGCCTATGTTTGGGCTGCAAGCTAGGGCTTGCAAATGGCTCCAAATGGGAAACACAGGCACCTATGGGTTTCTCCACCAAAGAGGAACAGATCCATTGAAATACCCACTGACCCTTTTGTCCCACTCATCTAGATGTCACATTTAGGGGTGGGGAGGAAGCTCAGAATAATAGAGGCCACATGTAACCTCTCAGATAATTTGGGAGAATTTTTTTTCAAGAATCACACATAAGGGTCAATTCTACAATTAAAAAAAGAAAGTAATTCCATTCAGTTGGGAATTTGAAAAGTTCTGGAGGTGATAGTTGAGTAACATGAATGAATTTAGCATCCCTGAATTGTACACTTAAAATGGTTAAGATAGAAAGTTTCATGCTGAATTTATGTTACCACAATTTTTCTTAAGTACAAATGTTCCTTAATATCTTGAGCATTTTCCAGTTTTATGGGATGAAAATGAAGAAATCGGTAAAAGGAAGGAAAAGTCGAGGTTGGAGTGTGAAGAGTTAGGGAGGAGAGGCAAACAGGGGCCTCCCCTTTCCCTGTTAACCCTGGACAGGGTAAACAATTCTCACCCTTGGGGAGCCATGCGTTCAATCTCTAAGTAGCCTTCCCCTCAGATTGCAGCCCCAGGTTCTTTCTGATCCTCGGGTTCTTAGAGGCAGAAAGTCCCAGTTATCACACATGCCAGTTCTCACTGTGCGCGCCATTCTAACTACAATGAAGGCGATTCAGAGCGTGGACCCGAGGCTCCCCGGGCCGGGCTGAGCACTGTCGGAGCTCAAAGCCCTGCTGGAAGCTTTGGCAGGGTCACCCGGGGACACTCCCCAGAAGGAACCACGGGAAACGGGGAGAGAGGCTTGAGGTGCGTCCCGGGAGCAGCGCGAGCATTCGGCAAGGGGCGCACAAACCCGGCTCCCGTGCGGCGATTCTCAGTGACCCACGCAGTGGTGGGGAGCCCTTCAGGCTGTAAGCCCAAAGACAGCTCGCAAAAGTGAAACGTATCACGGAGAGGCGGTACCAGTGGTGCGATCTGCGAGGGGCGGGGCCGGGGCGGACTGTGGCGGGGCCTGCAGAGGAGGAGACTAGGTGGGGCGGGGCGGGGTCTGGGACGAGGAGCCTAGGCAGTGGGGAAGGGGCAGGCCTGGGGTGCTCCGTAGGGGTGG